AGGGGCGTGGAGCTCTCCCAGCCCATCCATCCCTTTCCACGGGGCCCCTACGCGAGACCTGGGTTATCCGTGGGTCTTCATCAGAGGTGGTATTCTACCGGTTCGGATCAGTTTGCCCGAACCGGTAGCAAAAATCACAGGTGGCCCTGCCCACCCACCTCGCCCACCCCTCCTGACATCCCATTTAGGCCCTTTTTTTTTTTGCCAAAAGCGCATGCGCAGAAGGCTGAGTATGCACAGAGATGGACATTTGCGAACCGGTAGTTAAGTGAATACCACTTCTTCATGGATAAAACCTCCACCCCAATTAGCTGACCGGCTCCATCTGACTTAAGTGGGCTTCCTCACACTGATCCAGGCCTGGCTGAATGCCAACCGGGCTTCCTTACCTGACCGCTGCCAGGTGGCAGTCGTAGTGGACGATGTTGAAGTGGGAGACAGTGCTGTAGCCCTGTTGCTTCCGAGGCTTGTTCTCAAACTCCTCCAGGGCCACCCGCTTGGTGAAGGTGTAGATGCCCAGGACCTTGGTGGGCTGCGGCAGGGAAAGGGCAGTTAGGGTGAGCTGCCTGGGGTCGTCCCGCTCCCCTCCCAAGGGAAGGTACGGCTCTGGGCTCACCTGGAACTTGTAGCCTTCCCGGCAGATGCAGCACGTCAGGCCAGGCTCTTCGATCAGCTCCTCCATCTGCTTCAGCAGTGCCGTTTTCGTCACCACCTGTCCCTTTTCGTTCGTCTGGCAAGCCAAGCAGAGCGGAGGAGGGATTGAGGAGGAGGAAGGGCCACGGGGCTTGCACTCCCCGAAGGCCTCCTTGCTTCCCGCCAACCCAAAAGCGAGGACCCCGTTACCGTCATGCCGAGGGTGCCCAGGGCCTTCTGCCGCATGGCCATGGCCATCCGCTTCTTCTCTGCCCGTGTCTCCCGGCGGGCCGCGTCGATCTTCTTGTTGACGTCTGGGTGCTCCCGCAGGGCTTCCAGGAGGTTCTCGGCCAGCGTCCCGATGCTTTCGTCGCTGGAGACCTGCTCCAGCTTGTGCAAGTTGGAGATCGAATCAGTCCCAATCAGCGCCTGTGGGGCAGGTGGCGGGGGGGGAGGAGGGGAGGAGGCTTTTAATTCGAGGGCCAACAGACCAGACCGATGTTCGATATAGGATGAAGAGACAATTCGCTCCGTTGTTTTCCTTTAAAGCTTTCGCTATCAAAAGGTTGCAGCACAGTCACAGGACTAAAATGTTCATACTCCCTAACTGACAAAGGCTTCACTCTGGGGGAGTGAAGGCCCTTCCCCACTGCCCCGTCCCACAAGGCACACCTAGGAGGATAAATGTCGGGGCCCAACATTAAACTCATGAGGACAGAATGAAAGCCAGGGAGCATCCAGTGTTCAGGCACTGTCCCTGCCAAAGGCAGGCTCTATAACAGGGGTCCCCAACCCTTGGCCCTGGCCCGCAGCATGCCAGAAACTGGGCTGCGCAAATAAGAGAAGCCCCATCCGGGGATTGCAGGCAGCACGCAAAACCACCCCCTCTGGTCCACGGAAAAACCTTTCTCCATGGAACTGATCCCAGGTGGCCAAACTTTTGGGGGCTGCTGCTCTGCAACACTTCCTGCTTTCCACAGCAAAACAGAAGAGGGGGGAGGAGGAGAAAAGAGGAGGGTAGATTGAGGAGGAGGTTGAGGGAGGAGGAGGAGATGGAGGAAGGAGGAGGAGGAGGAGAGGGGAGGTTAAGAGAGGAGGGGGAGGTTGAGGGAGGAGGAGGAGATGATGAAAGGAGGAGGAGGAGAAGGTTGAGGGAGGGAGGACACCTCACCTGGGTGGCCGGATGCTGGGTGGCGAGTCCTCGAAGCAGCCGCAGGATAAATGGGAGGGCCGGTCGAGACAGAAACTTCTTCCACACATCGGCGTCCAAACTGTCAGATTGGCGGGGAGGGGGAGGAGAGGGGAAAGGGGAAGGAGAGCATCAGTGCAGAAGCATCCACGGAACATCGCTCAGCCTTGTCTCTCCTTGGGAGCAATGAAAGCGTCCCCGACCCTCCACCCTCCACAAGGATTCCCATGATACAACTGGCCTTTAAAATCCAGGCCTCAAGCGAACAACAGTGACCTCTGGACTGCCAGCCTGCAACTCCCAACACTGTCTGGCTAAAAGAGGCTCCAGTGAAGTATTCCCCTGCCAGTGTGGAAAAGGGGGCGCCTGGGCTGCCCCAATAGGAACCCGACCCGTCCTTGTGAGGGGGGACGGCCAGTATGCAGCATGCAACAAACTGTGGGGCTCAGCCTAGCTAAGGATTCCACCTCATGCTCTCTCCAACCTGTCCCCCACCTCAGTGGTTCCTTGGGGAGTGGAGCCACCCCCAGGCCAGTCCCTGCCTCCCCCCGACCCCCAAGCGGGTCTCTTACTTCTTGGCGCTGGGAATATGCTTCTTCATGTAGTCCAAGGCGCCCTGGGTGATCCCTCTCTGTAGGATGAGGTCCTTCAGCAGGTGCCCGTTGCTGTTGTTCTTGATGCCGGCTGCAATTTTGCAGAAACAATCCAGGAAAACCTTGTCATCCCCACTGTGTTCCTCGTCGTACCTGAGAGAGAGGAAAGAAAGGAGGCTGTTGAATCTGGTGGCAGATTCGGACACTGAGGAGGTTGGGGAAGAACATGGGCCAGTTCTGGAGTCTGGGGGAGGCTCAGATGAGGGCTGGGTCGGAGGCAGAGAGGGGGCCAGAGCCGTCTGACAATTATCAGCTGCCTTCGGAGTCGGAC